GACTGGATGTGCTACTCTGAAGCACGCAACAGAAAAACACGACTCGTCAAGAGAACCTTGTCAAGGGCGCACCGGCGCCGAGTCCAGCAGGTCATTGAAGATGGCCCACAGGGTATGTGGCGATTGGCTAAATGGGCAAGAAACCGAGATGGGGCCTACGAGAAGGGTATCACCCCTTCGCTGAAAATACAGGATCCCCAAATGCCTGGAACTCTCGCAGAAACAGTTGATCAAAAGGCAGAGGCATTCCGGATTGCCTTCTTCCCCAAACCGCCGCCAGCCGATCTATCCGACACGGACTCATTCCAGTACCCACAGCAAATCGAGTTTCCAGCAGTCACCGCTCAAGAGATACAGGAGGCGGTGCGAGGAGCGAAAGCAGGGAAAGCACCCGGAGAAGACGGTATACCAAACTCTCTCTGGCACAAGCTTATCGAGATACCGGTGGTTCTAGCAACAATGGTCCAGTTATTCAACGCATGCATAAACACGGGATACAACCCGTCACATTTCCAGCGCTCAATCACGGTGGTGCTCCGGAAGCAAGGCAAAAGTGACTACCAGCTCGCAAAATCCTACAGACCCGTCGCGTTGCTGAACACGCTCGGAAAGTTTCTGGAGGCAGTTGTCGCGCGACGGATCAGCTACGCAGCAGAAACCAACGGTTTACTCCCACGAAACCATCTAGGCGGGCGAAAGGGCATATCCACCGATCATGCTATCCACACTATCATCGACCGAATCAAGACTGCATGGGGAAAGGGCAAGCCAGTGGTATCTCTGCTGATGCTGGACGTGTCCGGAGCGTACGACAATGTCTCCCATGAACGTCTACTACACAACCTCAAGAAACGTCGCTTGGGACATTTCGTTCCCTGGGTGAGGGCCTTCTTGACCAATCGAAGCACAAGGATCCGCATGCCCGAGGGCACATCCGATCGAATCCTGACACCTACAGGCATCCCTCAAGGATCACCGATCTCACCCATTCTATATCTCATCTACAACGCAGACCTCGTTGAGAACTGCAGCAACGGTGTGACAAGCAACGGGTGGGTCGACGATGTTTGCTTCATGACAAAGGGAGACAGCGAACGCGAAACCATCAAGAAACTCAGAGCGGCATGCCGCAAAGCCGACCAATGGGCCGAGAAACATGCATCAGTTTTTGACCCGAAGAAGTATGCACTCGTGCATTTTGTAAACACCAGGGAAGTCGACCCACAACACACATCGCTTTCTCTACGAGGACACACGGTGACAGCGACGAGGACGGCTGAGCGGTACCTAGGCTATTGGCTGGATCCGGGTCTGGAATTCCACCATCACCGCGAGAAAGCGGTGGCCAAGGCCGGTGTCTCTCTCCACGCACTACGAAGCCTGGCAGGATCAACGTGGGGAGCCTCACTCTATGCAATGCGAAAGATCTACCAAGCGGTGATAATCCCGCAGATGCTCTTTGGGGTTTCCGCGTGGTATCAACCTATGCTCATCAGTCACTCCAAGGCACGCATAATCAGTCGGCCTTTCGTGGCAATCCAGAAGCAGGCAGCATGTCTCATCAGTGGAGCTTTCAGAACTACGGCAGCAGAGGCACTGAATGCAGAGCTTCACCTACCGCCTATTTCTGTTCACATGAATCGACTGGTGAAAGAAACGGCCCTTCGACTACGGACAGGACCAAAGTTCGCTGTCCCGCCAACGATGTTACGTCGACGACCGGCAGATGAGAGAGACTGGGCTGGATGGTCACCGATGGAGGCGCAAGCTTGGAAGGCGGGCGGATGTCTTATGGCTCCCCCGGATACTTTGACGAGGAAATGGGAGAGTCGAAAGGCATTCGTCCTGGCACCATGGCAAGCGCCACCAGAGGTAATCATCGAGGACAGAGAAGCTGCGGTGAACAATCACAACCAGATCCTGATGAAAGACCCAAGAGAAAGACCCTTGATTCTGTACACCGACGGGAGCGGAATTGATGGAAGGATCGGAGCGGCAGCGGTCGTGGACCTTGAGGATCAACATGCTCATAGCCAGATGGGAGATGATAATACGTCCACCGTATATGCGGCAGAGCTTCGAGCCATTGAGATGGCACTTGAAATGGTTCTGGAAAGCACAGAGCCATGGGCTAAGCAGGCGAAAAACGGGGTAGTCATCTTTGTAGACAGCCAAGCAGCGCTGAAGGCGCTGAGACGACCGCGGATGCCGTCAGGACAGGTCTATCTAGCAGGATGCCTCAACCTGATCCGACAACTTGCGGGCAGAAGCATTCGGACAGAACTCAGATGGATTCCTGCGCACCAAGGAGTCATTGGCAACGAGATCGTGGACCAACACGCAAAAGAAGCGGCGCAGGAACAGGACGGGCTGCATAACCCCCTCAACCGAGACATATGTCTCGCAGCCGCAGCGAGACGACGAATTCGCAGAGAAGCGAAGCTGGAGTGGGACAGAACGTGGGCCAAGGAAGCGACCAGTCGTCCGACGAAACGCTTGATTGAAGCACCAACAAAGAAGACGCTGGAATACTGGACGGGCTTGCGCAAAGCGACGACATCGATTCTGATGCAGCTTAGAACTGGGCGAATTGGCCTAGGGGCTTACCTGAATCGTATCAACCGACGCGAAACAGCGCGGTGTGATTGCGATCTTGGCAGCCAAACAGTAACACACGTCCTACTGGAATGCCCCTTGCACCAGGACGAGCGAGACTGGATGAGAAGCGCTCTCTCATACCAGGGAGTCGCTCTCCACCGGGACGAACTCCTCACACGACCGGAGGCCCGCACAGTTGTGGCCGAATTCATGGTCAAGACCGGCCTCCTAGGCCAATTTCAGACAGTCGACCCTACGGCTCTGGGCGAGGAAGGGGACGACAAAGGAGCGGAGACAATGATCCCTTAGACAGTGTGACGGAAGAAGAAGGATGGCGCCCATTAGGAGTGCAGTGCCAGGTCCACTGTACTCCCTTGATCCAAGCGAGCGCGCAAGCGGCAGCCGACAAGACTGGACAGTTGGAGAGAAGAGGGCGTGGGAATGGTGTGTTGAAGCGGGACCCTGGTCCTACCCGCGACCAGGGGTAAATGACGTTCATTTTGGCTTTGTGTTTATCATGTTTGCATCCGTGCATTTCTTTTGTTTAGTTTACGTCTTTCGATTCGAGGGCGATTGATCAGAAATTCGCAAGGCGAGTTCCCTGACGGTCGCCCAGTGGGCTGGCGACCACCTTCCAGCTGTCGGCAGGCCTGACAGCACTCCCGCATAGCAGCATATATATAGAGCGAGCTACATCGGGCAAATGAATACATCATCATCATCATCATCATCATCATCGATTTCATTGCGTTTATTAAAAAAAAAAAAATTAGATCAGCTTTCATTGTGACCAGTACAAGGGTAAATAACAGTAAGTTAATATATTAGTATGAATCAGCAGATTTATGTATGCCAAGGCCATGATTTTATGCAAAAATGGTTTTTGTTGGGGCCCCATTGGGGAACCGCAATGGTTTGTGGGTTGGGTGCGGTTTGGGCGGTTAGAAACCGCACCCACTGCGGTTTGGGTTTTGGGGGGAAGGTTTTGCCCCCAATTGCGGTTTTTGGCGCAGTCTAACTTATAGATACGCTCTCGAAGCGCCGATGTATGCTCCTTTAAGCGACCTATCGTATTTAATAGCAGTATATGTAGTAGGTATAGCTAATTAATAGAAATAGGATCGATAGAAATAGGTAAATCGGGATTGAATTGCTATAATATCGCGTTGCGCGTATACTAGCGTGGGCGGTAGGGAAGTGGGTCCTCGGGGTGTTGTTAAAACTTTTTCGTAGTCACTGTACCAAGATTCTCGTGACGCAGAAGAATCCCTATCCGCAAGTCACCGACCCCCATGAAAAAGGGATTTAAGTCTTGCAGCACAAACTAGATGATATCAAATACCAACGCATCCAATTTTCGCTGAAATTATACGAAACAGAGTCTATGCTTCTAAGCCTAGTTAAACGTGAGTACGACTCTATTCGAAAAGACCCAAAATGGTACATGCGAAAGGAGCTAGTGATGGACTGCGTAGATAGAGGTGGATGTTGCGGCCGTTAATGCGGCTGTTGTGCATCCTGTGCGACCTAGTCTTATGAAAAGGGCGTAAGTCGCTGCACTATAGAATGCCGTTGCTGTGTTGGCCATCGTGGCTTTAGGCCATCTTCAGAGGAAAAGAAAGAGATACTTAAGGGAATGGCCATGCTTTTAAGATCCGACATTGCGATTCATTTTCTAAGAATGGTGAACGTTGATACCTCTTGCTGTTCCTAGGCAAAATCCTAGTTCTTTAAGGTTGGATAGCTGATTATTTCTCGAGCTGGTAAACCCTGCCTCTCTCTACGGCTCCGCCTACAAGTGCCGGGAAGGCTGGGTGAAGTAAGGCGGATTTCTTTCCCCAATCGCCCTTAAATTTTAATGAATTCAAATAATGCCTATGACAAAGTTTAAAATCATACAGCACATGTGCAGTCAGAATGAAAAATATATTTCCAGCGCTATTCGTTATCTTCTTTTTCAAATGTTCTTCAAAGCTTGAAGCACTTGAGAAAAAGAAAAAAAGACTTGGACCTCTGGTACTGGCATGCGGTATATTTGCCATGAGAGGGTAATGAGGACCACCTTTTTAGCACATGGCAACTTCATCTATCAATTGAAAGAATTTGGTCCAATGACAAGTTTCAAATGTTTTCATTCAAAAGTTTTGGCCTTGGGCAATTCCATCCATACGCAAGCACATGAGTAGAACGTCATCCAGACATCTGGAGAGATCATGGCGATCGTTATAAGGCCCCGGCCCCGGCCGGGGCGAGTTGCAAAATGACAACAGGATTGATGGTAAGGGCTTCTAAGCATTTAAATGCGAGAACAAGAGTACATAAGATTGATTATTTCAGACATCTGGATCATGACGCAATTGAAGGGCAAACCAGCGGAAATACACGCGTACACATGTATGTATCTACTCCGCCCATTGCCCCAGTTGAGCTTCATAGGCCTTCCAACTAATATATGTTTGCACAACGGAGGCTGCAAGCTGCAAAAACGACAAAACTACCCCCAGGGTGCCAAAGAAGATCACGGCCCAGAAGGTGAACCACTTCAGACCATCTCTCCGATCATTCCAGAGCTCCTTGAAACCACTCGGCTGTTGGTTTACTATGTACTCTTGGATAAACAAAAGGCGAGTGCCTAGTATCGGAAAGTCAAATTGTGTATCGTAGGACTGTTTCGGAAGGAAGTTGCCAAACGAAGGCCTCGTGCAGCCGCACAGCTCGTCTAGAAGAGGATCGATGATATGGTCCTCGTCTTCCAGTCGCCTCCGCTCAAGATGTCGGTAGCGCTCTAAAGACCGCTTGTGCTGAGCGAAGAATAATCGATAAGAGAGCATCACCTCTTCAAGGAGAGCGGGGACCGGATTCGGGGTGCTGGAATCATACATGTCTATATATTCGTAATCTGCTAATATTCTTTCAATGCACATGTGAGTTAGCGGTGCAACATCTGGATTAAAACGGAGGATCTAAGAAGAATATTTTACCGAGCGAAAGCCCCATCCGCGGACAAATTCCATTTGCAGAACGAAGGAAGTCGGAACAAATTCAAACGTCGATTAACAAGGTCCAACTGGAGATGTGCGCTGAGACAATAGACCCAGTGGATCTGCAGCCCTCCTATTTTTTGAAGAGTAAATGCATTAAGATTGGCAACGCGGAGGATTCTTGATGACTCGGAGGGGTGCCGAGCAACCGAATGGGGATCCTTCAAGTTCCCCTCTCCAAAAAAAGGGGCAACGCCAAAGCCGCGTAGGATTTCAGCAATGGGGCGCTCCGACATTTGGATAGGCTGTGATGTCCTGAAAGCCGTGGTAGTTTCGCCTTTATCTAGTTCGAACGTCGCCGTCAACGAATGAGGCGGGATGTCGGCAATGTAAACAAGGCTTATGAGGCCAACCACTGCGAAAACAAGCTGGCGGACGTTATTTTGTAGCGTACTCCAGGAATTTGGGTCGATATTCCCTCGCTGAACTAATGTTTGGACTATATCGTCGGGACTCAACTGGGTATTCGCTGTCACGACATTTATCACAGCGTTGAATAGGTGAAGTGCCGCTGGATGGTCAGGGAGAAGCAACCTTCCAGCGGCAGTCGACTGCAACCACTTCAATCTTCGGTTTACGAAAAGGTAGTAAGGATGGTTACTTGAGAGCTCGACCACGGGAGTATCTGCGCTTTTGGCTGCACCAAAAAGGTTCAGACTGATGTCCCTAAGGAGGGAATCTTCTGCTTAAGCATTAACACAGAGTACAATGAGCCCGTGGATGTAGATACAACCCTGAGGAGTATGAACCACTTCAGGTGGCTCTTCGATATTAGATCTCTTCGAATTATACCGTAAGATGGTCATAGAGTTCGGGGCCATACTGATCTGAAGGTATGGGCTTTGTGCTACATAGCACCGTCGGAACTCTTTCACCAAAAATAAAGGGGGCTTTTTCAACTGGTAGAATATTATATAATCGGAAGGAGCGTCAACGTATTCCACAAGTGTTACGGACCCTGCGACACGAGGAGCCGCAAGCTACAGAGGCTGAGAAGGGGGCATTGCTGGGATGGGCCACCGGGAGCCAATCAGTCATGCAGGCACGAAGTCACGAGCATGAACGGGTACCTAGTCGAGCACGCCCCGGAGAGCGGCCGCAAACCATCTCCAAATGGAATTCTACTCGCACTGACCCCCATCCCAGTGAAATGAAAAGCCCATCCAATACCTGCATAATTGAGTACCGTCACTTCATATCTATATATTGAATTTTGCCTATGAGTAGTAGAAATGATACTCTTTCAAGCTCTCATTCCAAGGTTTCCTTTCAAAGATTACGAAGAGCCAGAGTGGCGGATTACATGGCGACACCTCTCCGCTACCTAGGCTGCATGTAGCCTCCAGGGCTGTAGGTATGAATGGCCAGTCGCTAACGACTTTTGGCTAGTGTACCAGCCAGCACACGACCAATTAGATCTTCTGCTGCATCTCCGCCCGAGACCGTTTTGGCCATACCACTGTGATACGCCTTCTACTACATCATTTGCAGCATCTTTGGAAGCCCTCCCAAGGCATCATGATCCCCGAGACTCATATGTATCAGAGCCCCTCCCCAACGTGCTCCCTGACGTGTTCAGCACTCGGGACGTCAGCTAAAGTCAACTTGGAGTGGAGATGGATGGGTGACGCGTTAGGCTCACCAGATCAACCAGAATCAGCCTGTAGATTAAATAAAATCTTTGAGTTTTTGATTTTGATGATTAAATGGCAGAAACATTAAAGGTGGTAGAAAAAGTGGCAGAAGGCATTCGTATCTTAATCAGCAAAGGAGAGTGGGGCGGTGGTGGGTATAGTAGCCAAAGGCGGTTAGTTACCAGCCATTCTGTCCACAAGTGTTTTGGCTTTGTAGTTGGAACTCGGATCAATTGATTGGGGTTCCTTGTCGACTGGTCAACAAGTTCAGCAATAGAAAATTTGAATGATCATGATAAACAAGTCAATCTGGATTGTGAACAAGTAAAAGTAGGCAACGAGGCAGCCATAAGGATTGATCACGAAGAACTAAATACATGATAGCGAATGAGCGTCCTTCAAATGTTCAAATCCATGTTCAAGTTACATAGCTAGTCCTTCCATAATGATGTCCACTGGGCAGTGCACATGTGGGATATGATCTCTCATCCTCATGTAATTGATGTTGTTATCATCAAGCGACATCCCGATTTGGCCTTCCGTGACTTTGTCCGCCCTGATCCAAGTTGATTGGTCCTGATGTGTCCATTCTTGGACATCCCTCCGGGTGCTCCAGGTGGGTCTGTACCAAGCAGCAGGAGCAGCGGAAATTGCTACTGTATCGCGTCGGCATTTACCGAAAATAAGCTGCTACAAGTATATTGTAGCTATCATCGGTTGCAGGCAGTTCGTCAAAACGAGAACCCTGGATTGCTCTCCTGATTCCTTCAGCTTGTTGACGCAAACGACGAGCCTCAAACCCTTCATTTTTCAGCTCCAACGCTTGGCTGAGCTTCCAGAGCACACGGGCATAGTCCCCTTTATCACCTTGGGTGCGTTCATTATATTGGGAAAGTTTTAAAGCTGCTTTGAGGTAATCTCTGATTCGACTCATACGTAAAATTAGTTTCAAGCTGAAAGTGCTACTAAGGGGAAAATAAAGATGAAAAGAAAAGATGCGAAGGGAAAGGGGCTGCATACACGGCCTTATCGGCGTCTTCCTGCTTGATGCTCAGGCTACCGAGTCGCAGGAGCTTTGCGCCAACGATGGGGTGCATGTGAGCCAGGTTAGAGAATAGCTGGTATGAATTTTCATAGAGTTTCTCAGCCTCAGTGAAAGCACCTTTGGCCTCACAGATTTGACCTTCAACGTAGTACGATCTGTGAACATAACGTGAGCACGTGATGCTATCTCTTATGGTCAAACTACCAGGAACTTACTGCGCTTCAAATTCAGTCTTTTCTCCAAACGTCTCAATAGCCAGCTTTCGACACTTCAAGAGGTTTGGGCGAGCCTGTTCATGGTTTCCATCCATTGTGTATCCAATAGCGATGTTTTGATAAATGCAAACGATGTCCTTCTTGCCGCTTTCAGCAGGCAAGGAGAGGTAGATGTTTAAGGCTTTCTCGTAATAGGCTCGGGCCTCCGCGGTTTGGACTTGCGATAAGAGGCTGTTGCCAAAATTGTTGTAAACAGCAGCTAATAGCGGGTCCATGGGGTCGAGAATTCTTTCTCCAATGTCTCTTGCGGACGTCAAGTACTGTTGAGCAATGGAGGTTTTGTTTTGCAGAGCGTAGATGTTTCCGATCTCGTTAAGGATAAGCATGTACTCAAACGAATCTTCATGGCCGACGCTTATCTGCATGCTCCTTTTTAATAGATCAAGCCCTTCGGCGTAATTACCCATGTCGAAAAGAAACCTGTGAGCAATCAGTTGGCCTAGCCACGGATCTAGAAGAAGCGATGGAAGCTGAATCAAGAGTGCAGGAGGAAAAGAAACCCAGTATGCTCCTCACTGACCTTCCTGCCGCTGCGAGACAGGAAATGAACTTTTCCCTCCCCGGAACGGTGTCGCCCTCGGCCGTGACATCCGAAATATGTGACAGTGTGCAGACCACATGCGCTATGTACCTTTGCCCTTGGGCCCAGAGCTCGGGATAGGTGCGAAACGATGCGCGCTTATGCGGCGGAAACTTTCGAGCAAGCAGAGCCCCTGTTGCCCCAAGTAATTTTAGGAATGTAGCATGGTCCAAGAATGAGCGGAAATTCAACTGGATTACTCGATGGACGAAAAGAGTCATGTCCTCCGATGACCTCCTGATAAGCCCAGCCCGGATGAGTTCGTGAACGGTTTGTTCAAAGCTGTGAGTTTAGTTTCAGCATGTTGATCAAGGCATCTCCACCTCATCCTAAACTTACTTCCATTCGTCAAAGCAGACGGCAAGTTCTATTAGATTATCGGAGAAATCGGCGCCGCTGGTTTCGAACAACTCTTCTGGAATATTGTCTGGTCCCAGGACGCTGATTGATCCAAACAGGGACAGTGCATTCTCTCCAATCGACTGGAAAGCCACTTTCCACGCCGTTGTCAATGAGTGCGCATAGTAAGGGCCCAAGTCACTAGGCTTCGATTCTTCGAAGAAGCTCCCTGCATTCTTTTCGTAAAGCTTGCAAAATTGGCGAATCTGGCATCGTCGTCGGCGGATATTTAAGGCTAAGATTACTACTGCGAGAGCTAATCCTCCAACGAATTTGGAGAGCTCCCCCGCCGCCGCAATCTCATCCGTTGAATAATGGCTGCGGCCAATAATATTCATAATTAGTTGGCCGGCTTCGTTGTTCCCGAATACAGGAATCTCGAATGAAACGACGTTGAAGTTTATGAGATCCATCTCCGTTCGGGATGTGATGAGGATGCCTCCGAACTGCGAGGTAATCATCAGGCATTCCTATATATGCTCTTTCTCCGTAACGTTGTCCAGAACCAGAAGCCACTCACTCTCTAGCTCAATGTCAGCCACGTGGCTCTAGAGGCATGGGCCTGAAGAAAATGCATGAAGGATAAGTGAGTGGGAACAAACCGGTGCTCTGGAGCCATTTCATGAGGAGATCTTTATTGGTTTGCAAGTCGTTCTCTCGCGAGGCTCCTGTCAACTTTAGAAGTACAGCTGCAGCGGTAAAGCTCTGATCTACAGTTAGCTGAGTCTCAGAATTAATCCAAAGAACTACCCCAACGCCCCTTTCCCGCTCCTCGTGCGCATAGGCTAGTGCAATTTGGGTCTTGCCAACGCCCCCAGCGCTCCAAAGCATCATTGAGCGCTGTTGTCTATTGATATCGTTATCGCGGATGAATGTTCGTATATTCGTAAGAATTTCATCTCTTCCGAAGAATGATTGATTGCGAGCGAGCGGTATGTTGTTGCACGGAAGTTCTGCCATTGACTGAACAACACCCTCGTCGTAGTTGGAGTGCGAAGCGGACGGATTGTTGAGACGCGGGTTCGCCATCGCATAGGTCACCTCGGACCTAGAAACGACTGCATCGTTTTCCATTTTTCTTCTCTGCTCAATGGCTGATATAATTGCCTTCACATGGTTCACCTTGGCGTCGATGCGGCTGACGGTCTGCCGAAACTCGCTCAACACGTTGGTCGTCCAGGCAGCAACCGCAAGACTTTCTAATGATATCATGCCATTAACAAATGGATCCATTGAGTGCTAACATCAGAAAACCTCATTGTTAAATCTCACCAACGGGGTTGCGTCTTAAGAATCTGACGGTATGCGACCAAAACATGATTATCTCAACGAAGACCTCGACGATAGCTTTGTCCAATAACGCATTGCCGTACTCCAGCGGGTGATAGAGTTGTAGGAGTTCCATATGTCCGGTAAGTTGATCCGTCAATTCTACTGTTCGGGTGAGTAACTGCTCAGATTGCACAGTAACCTAAGATGGTCAGCGATCCGTCTCCGCCGTAAGTCTAATGTGGATTCCCTCCGAACCTCAATCAGCAGCATCATGATTCCCCATATAATACCGCCAGCCGTGAACCTGGCACCCAGGGCAAGAGCGCAGGCCAGGTTCAACTGGCGGATAGCATGTAGAAAAGGGTCGAGCCTTCCCAGCAACCATGGGATCTTCTTGTTTGCTTGCTCCGCTGTCTTCTGAAGGCTATGTATGAGTTCTTCACACGTAGAACACTCCAAAACCTTCTTGAAATCTGCCAGTGGCAGCCTATCTTTACATAATTGCACCGCATCGTTCCAACGAGCCCCGCAGTACTCGGAGCTGGCATATATTTAATAATCTTCAGTTTGATAGAGAGAAGAAAGAGCCTAGACTCACGTATTGAACTCCTCTGGGTGAGTAGCCATTTTTTCTAAGCTCCAGAAGGCAGAATTGAAAAGATGTTAACTAGAGGCCAGAGAACAATAGAGCGCTTTAGTCGAGATAAGGGTACTATCTGTTAAAGTTTTAGCTCCACCTTCTCATTCGGGTTATCCCGAGTTCGGACGCTGTGGTTACTTTCCCCGTCATTCTTCGTTGTCACTGTCAGGCCTACATATTCTTTTACATGTTCTAGCCCCTTTTCCGCAGTGATATGTTTCTGCAAGACTATGATGCCTTTGCCGCTATGACCTCCTGATACCCAGGTGTCTTGATTTAGGATCCGCAGAGCGGGGTAAGAGGTCAATGCGGGTAGGTGATAAGAGCGACCCCCCAGCGAAAAGTTTTCTCTTCCAAGATTTAACGTTACCACCTAGGCACACATTTCAATGTTTATACCACCTAGGAATCCATGGATAGGTCTTGCTGCTCGGATCCAACCCCTGTGGACTATAGTGGTCTGACACTTACACACAGTGATCTTCATACATATGTTTTTTGTACTTGCTACCGCTACACATGTGCACCTAAGTTAGGCAGTACTAGCTTGCAAGAGTCGGCTTGTCCTTTTACACACACTCTTTCTTTCCTAAATCCAGTTGGCAGGGCCACTCCAACCTTCATCGGTTACACTTAAAACGACCCCTGGTACTGCCTAGTGTAGAGGGACTAGCGGTGTGTTAGGGATAGAATGCTAGTTACGTGGGACACTGTATATACATAAGCCATACGTAGCATAGTTAGACACATCAGACCACTCTACTTTCTGGACTACCCTAGGTCTCCCTCTCCATCTCCCACTAACCCCGGTGGTGGACCTGCACTCTATCCCATGATTCGCAGACATTGGACAACGACGCTCCCCACTATGCTAGTCGGGTACCAGGGCGGAGAACAGGGTATTTCTAACATGGCCCGAACAGCACTTGAGGGGACCAATATGGTATTGACAGGGCTTCCAGATGTAGAAAGAACCCAGAAAATAAAGAATGTCTATAATGTTTCAAATTTGACTGGCATTCGTACCTAATGCCAATAGCCTCAAGTGCTGTTTTAATACCAACAGAAGATAGGCTGTATTGAGAGATGTCAGTATATAGAAAGATATCCAAAGTCAAAATATATAAAGAAGAAAATGTTATCAGAGCCCTTTCAAGTTGATTCAAATATTGTAATCTCAGGATGGGTCGATTTTGTATATTCCTTGGTGTTTACGTAGCCTGGAGCTAAGTAGTATACTTCATTTTTTCAGAAGTCTTGGATATGTAAGCTCCACATTCTCCTTTATTTCTTCTTATCCCACAGAGATACTGATGGCAGCGAGTTATGAGTCCAGGACTATACGTGCTGCTCATGCGATGGCGCGATATGACTCGAAATTCATGGCACGAAATATCAACATTTCAAACTTCATATTACGAGAGATATGATTCATTCGAACGCATATAAACTTGAAATCCAAACAAAATGACTGCTGCAATAACAAGGAAGGAAAAAGAAAAGGGGAATAGGAGTGCTATTAGTAAGAGAGAATGGGGCGACAACAGCTGAGGTATATCAGGACTTGAGGTTAGGCTTCGGTTGGCGTAAAAACGATCAATCGCACTTCGACACTTTCACGCAATGCAGCCCCGTCACTACTTCCCGGTTCGACAAATGCGGCATGTGGACAGGCTAGGCGGTTGTATTAGAACAGGCAAAGAAATCTAGCCCTGGAGCATGTGTGATCAATTTTTGGGTTCTTACTCATCCATGGAGACTTATCTAAACGACAGTCAGAATCGTAATTAACGAAGACCAAAAATTCGTCCGTAGTTTGATTTGGCAGCCAGAACCATTTTTGGTTGGGGTTGTATTTCACGTAGTATACTTCGAGCGCAAAATCGGGGGTGACGCGATCAGCTGCTAATAGGTCGGCAGGGTCAATACTTCGAGGATCACAGATAGCGATAGGACATTCTTCGACCGGAGTCCTCAATGGTCGCCATAGACTACAATAATTGAAATTAACCCCTCGTGTCTTAGCAAGTGGAGGGGCAATTAGCTTTAAAACCACCTACTTGATGATCCGGGCCTTGAAGTTAGGGGTGAGATACATCGATGCCTCAAGCTCGGTCAAATGCCTTCGGATTCGTTTTAGCCCTCCCTCGACGGTGTGGTCAATATGAACAGGGAAAACAGGCGGTGCTGCATTTTCTCTGCCATAATTTTCCCCCTTATCATAGTCCATGATGTTTGTATTATTCTTTCGAATCTACCCAAGTCAACGATAAATGTTAGAGATGTCATAGCAGAGAGCAGTATAACGTGTCCATGGATTCTAAAGGTGGACAATGAGGATACTAACACGATAGTCATAGCAAAAAACATGTACTGCGTTGTATTTGACCTTAATGACTCTCGCCATCTCTTCACAAAAGGTTCCAATGTCTTCCGTTGGGTTTTCAAGCGTGGTAACGCTTTTGTAGTTCAAAATTTCAAACCCATTCGTCTGAAGGGAGAACGCCGGAAATCCTCGTTCCCGGATATTTTCGATCCGAATTCCATCTTGTGGTGAATATTCCAGATTAGTCTGCGGCACTTCGCGCGAGCTTTCGTTTTCAGCAATATTCAAAAAATAGGGCTTTTCTGTTTCATAACGTTCCAGAGGAGATATATGTTGCAAAGTTGCTAAGACCATCTTGTTGCTTCTAGATGTCGCAAAGTATACCTAGGTAGTATGCATGTGCATTCATGTACCGAGGAGAGAATGAGAAGATGGAGGACGTTCTACGATTGATAAGACCTCGGGAACCTTTCACATGTGGAAGGAATTCCACCTGGTCATGTAGTATGGATGATATCCTGGGCAGGCCCCACAACCCCACTACCCTAGACGGATCCACTTTCGCGACCTGGCACCTGGGTGATTCAAATGTTTACAGAAGCCGCAGTAAACCAAAATATTTCAAGAAATTTCCAGATGTCGACTACTCCAATAAATCTTCACTTCCGGTATTCATTGACGATTAGAGATCCTTTAAAATGTTACGTAGGTCGGGGCAGCTAATATCTTACCAAACATTTGAATGCTTTCAAGAGGATGTCCCCTGAGTACTCCGTCAACTGCCCAGGTGGTAGTGCATTAGGAAATGCCGGCCCGAAGCGGAGTGCGGTCTTCCACGGCATTCAAATGTTGAATTGCAGCCTAGACCCCGCCAAAGAACTAGCTGTCTCAAAATACCTCAATATATTGCTGCATAGGTATATTTTTTCTCGCCAATTAAATATTGTAGAGACGCACGTACATAAGGTCTGTACAGCCAGAGTGCACGGCCCAGGGTCGATCCACCATGGCATATCACCAAAGCACCAGCAATCAACACACAGCATAGGCAAGAGGGCCCCTCCTGGGGCCCAGATCAGAGCATTTGAGAGATATAGGAGTGTGTATTCTAGCATCTAAATTCAGTAGCTACAGTCACCACTGGCATCAGTGCACATGTACCACAATGGAATATATTTTAACTTTGGAACATTCAATAATTGAACTAGATCAGTACTCATTTATATGCGGTCGTGTGATATGTTACATTGAGTGTCATCAATCCTTCCAAGGCAATGAGTTGGCCTTGCCAACAAGCAGGCAAAGAGAGATCACCGATTTTCATTTCCATTTTCATTCTCGTCGCCTAATGGGGAAAATACAAGCAGTCTCAGCTCGACGCTCTGACGTGAGATCTCTGTTGCTGTGCGTTTGGCCGAGGTATGCGGACAGACTTGGACATGTCAGCCCCAGAACCTCAATAGAATTTCACTCAGTCTCTCCAATACTTACATGGAGCCCCAGAGCCAGGGAGACTATCAAAATTGACAAACAGTGATGCTTCATCTGGTTCTTGGTGATCTATGTAATACCAATGATAATAATCTTTCGGTTTTAACATGTATACTTCACCAGCATATTCACTTGACACACGGTCAACGGCAACTATGTCAGTTGGCTGAACGGTGGAGTGGTCGCAGTATAGCAAGTCGTAATCGTACACGCGTCCCAGCGGCTTCCATACACTGCCAAGTCGATATGCCATTTGAGTCGACGGAGTGGAATACTTGGAAACACATAGGTAAACTCACTTGATGATACGGAACCTCCACTTTCCGTTGAGATACATTTCGGCCTCCGCTTCCGACAAATGACGCTTAGCGCGTTTCAAGGCACTCCCTGGGGTGTGATCTGCCTATGTTAGTACGAAATACAAACAAACGGGAAGGCCAGTCTGTCATGTACTACCAATATGTGCAGCCTCAGCTGGACTATCGGGATTGAGCTCGGTCCCCATGGGACTTTCTGATTTGGATGGCTGGTGTGAGCGGCTTGATCGAAACTTGGATCGTGGGATTAGTGGGCGAGACACGCAGATAGAAGTGCTAGATACACATACTCGACAATCATAACAAATGATATGGGTTCCATTGAGATGCCGTTTCATGATTGTTACAACAGCCTCAATGTAATCTTTCTTCCAGTTGCCCTTCACATCCAAGTATGCTATATTGCTTGGAAGTTTGAGAATTTGGAATCCGTGCTTTAATAATGAAAGCCCATGTTCCTGGCCCCGGATATTGTAGAAGTGTCTCTGCTCCTGTTGCTGATATTGGATATTCGTACGAAGGTTTTCACACCCTTCTGGCAGCTCTCCGGACAGATAATATGGCTTCGTTATCTCATATTCAGGCAGGCATTTTAGAAAAGTGAGTTGAATATTGGATCGAGGACAAGACAGAAATTCTGTACATAGAGCCATTCTCGGAAAGAAATGTGTGAACTTCCCTCGCTTTGTAAACGGACCATTTACTTTGAAGAGCAATGAAAGAAGAGGGTCATGAACTGATCTTTTGTAAAAAAAGCTTCACTCGAAGCGGCTGCATGACGTAGATACTTTCGTTCGTGTCATGCAATATTGACCCTAGGCCATTTACAGCCCGTACGCAGTATGGAGGATTCACCCACGCTTCATGTTTTCTAAAACAGCAAAATACAAAGGCAATCAATGCAGGTACGAAGGAAGGATGATTTCGATAAGGGTTCTTTCCTTCAACTTAATTCAACGGGGAAATAAAATACTCCACATAACAATGAGACGGTGAATAGCAGGCCAGAAAAGGCCGCTTCGGGGGCCGTTTTAAGCCTCCCATTCACCAGCGACGGTCTTGGCGTCACGTGTATCTAAGGACACAGCCAATGTGACCTACTGCCACTTTCACTCTCTTTTTGGCCGTTGCATGGCGCCTAGCCCCGCAGCGACCTCACTGGAGCGCCGGCCGTTCCTGGTCCCACTCGTGATACTGCCGCTGCGAGCCCGTTCCAACCAGGGTCCGGAAAGAAGGAGCCATTCTGTCTCCCCTTTCAGCACCTTTTGAGCACCTTTATTCCCTAGATTCCATAAATACCGACCGCCATGACTCCCGAATTTTCATTCTTCCCGCTCGCCAGCGATCTTCTCATCATCCAATCTCTTTCTCCGGCAGAACCCTGGTGTTTCGAGTGGATTCTATACACTCTTGATCAGTTCCCTATTCCCTGCCGGACACTGCTCCCACATCATGCCTTGCCTTTCACGTCCTAATTTGTCAGACGATGAGAGCGACGCGAGCTCAGAACTGCCTGAGATCTTCTCGAACGAAGCCTCAGAAACAGATTCGGTCACCACATATTGTGATGACGAGGATGAATCGGAGTCGGAGGATGAATTCCCCATGGAAGACGAAGAGAAGCAGCTTCCACCGGAGCACTATCTCCAGGAGGCAGAGTGTCTCGATGTCTCCCAGCTTCGGCAAAAACGCTACAGCCCAAGAACCCAAGACAAACTGGATGAGACGCGGGACTATTGGGACAAGTGAGAGCGTGCCACCCCCATGGTTTCTCCAATTGCATTTGGCTAATTATTCCAGGTTTTGCGAGGGCGGAAAGCGGGACCCGGTGGAATGTTTCTTCTGGCTCTCTGACACAGAGGAGACGATCCGTTTTTTGAAAGCCCTCTTTTCCTGGCGCTGTGATCAGCGGAGGGGGAAGAACGGGCGACACACGCCGGGACTGAAGTATAAAAGCTCGCTGGAGACATTCTGGAAATGGTGGCATCTGGTCTACAAGGCTGAAGTCGGGCATGGACTTAGTAAAGATACGATCGTCAAAATCGAGGATGTGAGTCTGTTGGTCCGCTAATCTGTCAGACTGATCTGTATATGGCTGACAGCCCATAGGTGCTTGCGATAGTTGCGACTGAGAAAAATCTCTGCTTCGATCGGCGACCGAAAGCGACCATGTATATTGAAGATGTGGCCGAGTTTGCTCGAGTGGTACTGTCTACGACGGAGATGACTTTCCCTTGTGGCTGGTACCGGGTGCAGCTCCTCCTGTACTGTCAACTGGCCGCCATCACTGGCAGCCGGCCTGGAGCGCTCTTGAACCTTCGTTACCGGGACCTCATGTTGACCCTGGTACGAGATCCAAATGGCCACCTTCCTCGGCTTTTCATTTATATGAGACCGGAGTTCACAAAATCATTTCTTGGCAAGAAGGAATCGTAAGAATATTCCCCTAGCCCTGAATCCCTCGTTTATATCCATGGTTCTATTCACCTTGCCCTGTCGTTGTCCTTCCATTCCACTTTTACCCTCCTCACAGCGATACGAGCTCGAATCAGGTCAGCTTAGCTGATTGCAATAGGAATACCTTCCCTATCCCGGAGGTTATTTTTGATCCTACGCTGGTCCTTAGCCCGCACGTTTTCTTGTTGGGCTTGCTTTTTCGAGTCGGGGCATTCAAGACGCTTTCTAAAGACGGTCGCGTGATGAACTGTCCAGAAAATTTGTATAGTCTTCGGGTTTTAAATGGACTTGGACAGCAGGAGTTGAAGTTGAGACCGGAAATTCTTGATCAATATGTTTTTTGTCACGCATTGAGAGAACCCAATGGGATCCGAATTGCCCTGGAACAGAATCTGTCAGGCGGCTGGCTACGTTATCGTATGAAACGTGGGGGCGAAATTACGGGCTTTGAAGAGGTCACGAAGCCCTATGGCCTCCGGTACGGCGCGGCGAAAGCATTCAATGATAGTCGTGAGTGGCCCTTGTTTAGACTCTGCGCTTCTTGACTAACAAGTCCATACTATACAGCGGATGTGTCAAATGAACTACAAAATGTGATGCTCCAGCATGCCAGCATTAACACATTTGTTCGGCACTACAGTGTTGGTATCCACGTCGATGCTCAGGCAATTGTCCGAGGCATGCCCGCTCAGAAGCAGCTCATGCGTTTTGCCTGCTCGATGAGTCGGTCTATCGATCCGCGCAGGCCATATAGGCTAGAAGATTCGAGCTCTGTCAATCAAATCCCGCGTGTGATTGCCATGGAAGAGTTCAAGCAAGCACGAGAGCAGGCCCGGGACGTGAAAAGACGAACGTTTGAAAATGCTCAGTTCGCTCTCCAGCGCGAGTTTGGTGATGATCCTCCGCAGAAAGGGTCAGTTTCTCGTCGTCTGCGGAAACTCCACAGACGATGGGTACTGCAAAACAAAAAAGTGGACAAGTTACGCAAGAAATTTGAACGTGCAGAGGAGCAGTATAATCTTGCTGTACGTGATTCGCGAAACGAAAAAGGACGACAACGCAATCGCTTGATTCGTGAGAACTTGGAGC